AAGAGCTACAAAGGATCGCACTGTTAGAAAAAACTTGTCGGAAAGACAGACAGTTTAATGAAAATGACCTCGAATGTTAACTGTTCTACACATTTCCAAGGCCTAGCTCTGTACCATTTCTTCCCAAGGCCTCAGCTCTGTCCCCCCAACTTCTCAGAGCCAAGGGCCCGGCAGCAAAAGCACCTCTCGCAAGACGAAAGCTGATTGAAATGACACGTGGAACGTTTTGAGTCAAAGTGCCCTGAAGACATCTGAAGACTAACCAACATACTGTAAGTCGGATTACTGCTCAGTTTTCAGGGAAACAATGTTGAATATTTGCACAAGGTGGCTCTGGCTGCTGAGTTGAGCCTAGACGATGACGAAGCTACATGTTGGTGTTTAGGTTTGATGCCAATTCATCTCAAGTTGTGACAGGGAATCTATGACTTGGACCCCACCATTGGATGGTGTCTTTGGCTGCAAGTGCGGATTGTCACTTTGGGGCCATGTTCTTGCCCAAACCTTCTAGCCTAACTATTGATGTTCACGGACTATGTTATTGAATTTGATTTATGTTTGTTGCATGTCCATCTTTCAAAAGCTACCTTTTTGACACTGTCATTGGACATGGAGTTCATGGTGTGGCAAGCCGGCAGGGTACCGGCTGACGCCCACAGAGTGCGGGCTTTTAGCCTGTTCCAGGAAAGGCGTAGGCCATGTTTGACACATCAGAACCGGCTGACGCCCACATAGATTAGAAGAGGAAGCTTGTGGAATCCTGACGCCCACGCAAGGGTTGATGGCCCGACGGGCACCTGTCGACCCTTTCAAAGAAGGTGCAGTGCATCTTTTGCAACCTCAAACATTTGCGCTCGCACATCCCGCCCTTCGAAGAGCAGCTTCTGGACTTTCTCCAAGGCATTGGGCTTCAACCCTGTCTCTCCAAGCTTGCAAGAAGGCGTGCGAGGCGAGAAGTGCGGAATATCAGGATTTAAACAACTATGAGAAGCTGTACACTCCCGCAAGCAAGCATGGCCCCTGTCAGGATGAGGAATATCCAGGATATGTTTGGTGACTCCAGAGCTTGAGTTTCCTTTGTTGATGCCAGCAAGAACTGTCTAGGCAGAGGAGTCATAACCAGATCTGGGCATCAGCATCAGTCATTTCCAGTCTTCAGAGTGGGCTGAGCAAGAAGATGTCTCATGAGGACCTCATCGCATGGGGTTGCCGCTTCATCTCATGGGGCGGCCCAGTCTGGGACCCCAAGATAGCTCAAGAGTCCCGAGACAGTGTGTGTGTGTGTGTGTCCACCCCTGGACAAAGGGTCTTCCACCACCACTCTTTCCATGCTTTTCAACTACCTTGGACAACCACCTTTTATAGGCAGGGGAGTGGAGCAGGCCTGCAGAGCTCCACTTAACAAAGCTCTCTGCAGTGTCCTGAGGATATCGGCCAGGACGCTGGCCGACGTACCTGCTCGTTCTTTCACAAGCTGTTACTCCAATCTTCCGCTTTTGATTCATGGTTCTTCACGTTTTCCACCCCATAAACACTCGTCCCCAGCAGCTGTGCAGCCGGTTCACTTTCCGCCGCTTGCGAGTGCAAACATTGTTCAACAATACAGTTTCAGCTGACCTTTCCACCTTGCTGTTCCATCACCTTCCTTCCCAACGTGGTAACTGAGTCACTGAATACAAGTGTCAGAGTGTGTTTCGCTCAGCCGTCCCACTCGGGTGCTGAGTGTGATCCCCGTCATAGGGGCGCCGATCTTGCATGGGAAAGCAACCACCCCAACGCACCACCTTTCACTGGACTCTCACAGGAAGGCACCGACACCCTCACCGAATCAACTGACATACCGGCCGCCGGGCCAAAAAACGGTTCTTGAAGAATACATCGGATTTCAGCTTTCAGATTTCGGATCCGTCATGTTCACTTCTCCAAGTCATGTTTGTTTTTCCACGAGCCTGAACATACTTGACGGCTAAGTATTCACCTGCCTGCGCTGCTAAGTATTCACAGGCCGGATGAATTCATCATGCACCCCCCCCCCCCCCTCCCTACCCCCAGGCCTCCGCTGCTATCCCACCCGCTACTCGGGAAACAGAAGGAAATCGCACTCAACACACTTGTGTGTTGGTGCCTTTCCTTCTGTTTCTCCTAGCTATTGCTAGCTACCCGGGCGGTTTAAGACGAATGTCCCGCTCGCCTTCTACTTTCGTTTAACTAAGTGGGCCTCGTAACTACCCTACTTTTCTTTCTTGCCCTCTTAGTCTGCTCTTGTTTCGTTGCTTTTTCTGTCTTTCCAAGGCTTTTTAGGTGTCTACTAGTTCTTCGTTGCGCCAACAATTTGGCGCTTTTTGTACAAATGTTCCCCTGGGAGTTAGGACGCTACTGGAGGCCCCTGGCCTTACTACTACTTTGACCGCGCCGAAAACGGCTCTGTGTGTGTGTCCACCCCTGGACAAAGGGTCTTCCACCACCACTCTTTCCATGCTTTTCAACTACCTTGGACAACCACCTTTTATAGGCAGGGGAGTGGAGCAGGCCTGCAGAGCTCCACTTAACAAAGCTCTCTGCAGTGTCCTGAGGATATCGGCCAGGACGCTGGCCGACGTACCTGCTCGTTCTTTCACAAGCTGTTACTCCAATCTTCCGCTTTTGATTCATGGTTCTTCACGTTTTCCACCCCATAAACACTCGTCCCCAGCAGCTGTGCAGCCGGTTCACTTTCCGCCGCTTGCGAGTGCAAACATTGTTCAACAATACAGTTTCAGCTGACCTTTCCACCTTGCTGTTCCATCACCTTCCTTCCCAACGTGGTAACTGAGTCACTGAATACAAGTGTCAGAGTGTGTTTGTTTGTGTGTGTGTGTGTTTGTGTGTGTGTTTGTGTGTTTGTGTGTATGTGTGGTGTGTGTTGCGGACTTTTCCACCTTGCGGTTTTTACAGGGCCATTTCCACAGGTGATTTGCCAGGTCGTCTAATGATAGTATGGTAGCTTTCTGATGCATCGGAAATCATTAACTGAACGGATGCTCATTCAGTTGAGCAGTGTATCAAAGTGTGTGTGAGTGTGTGTGTGTGTACATGTTGGACTCACAGGTTGCCTTTTGGTATAAACACAGGGGGACATGGATGACTGTGCACGATGGTCCAACGAAGCGGCCTAAGTACATGCGGATATCACGGCTGATCACCGTGACGTACCTGCTCCATTTGTGAATGTTGATAGCTACGTCCCACTCTACTCTCAGGCTGTTCAGGTTGATCTCAGGTCGGCAGATGTGAGCGTTCGTTGTCGATCTCGTCGCACCTTTGGCGTTTGAGACTTGCATGTCTAGAGTCATGGTCAGACCACCTTACTTGCACTTCCTCCTGGTGTGTGGCAAACCGCAGTCAGCTTGTACATGCTTTTATCCTGAGTGTATGTGCGCATGTGCACCTTGGATTCATAGGTTTGCGGGATTTTGTATTATGCACGCTCGTTCAGCAGTGACAGAGTTTGTGGAACCATTTGCCAATGAAGATGAAGAAAGACATCCACATTCTCTGGTGATACTGTGTGTGGGGAGATGTCTTGATGTGTGCCTGCTGTGACTACCTTTGACTTTCTATTGGCCCGTGCTTTTAACTAGGTCAGGACGACTAGCTGTTTGCAGTCGAGTTGTTCATTCTGCAGACAAGTGCTCGTCAGTCGATCATGATGTTGAACTGGCTCTGCATTTTGATTTCGATCACCTCAAAACTTGGAGAACTTAGAGTCCTGGAAGTTTCTACTCTTTGAACCTTGCACGTTTGCATACCGTTGCATTTACCTGAACACGTCAGGGTGCTTCCCGAGGTTTTGTCAGGGCTTGGTGGCATTCAAATCGTACAATGCTTTACTGAGTCTATCTTTATTTGTGTGTGTGTTGGAACCAGCAACTTCTCCACTTACTTGAGCCACTCAAGCTTAGAGACAACCTTTCTACCACAAAACATGAACAGCTGTTCTACCAGACTTGAGGAACGGATCTTTTGAGTTTGGCACTTTTGATTAACACGGGAATTACCGAGCTTTTGATTCAACAATGTTCGACGACGATTTCCTACATGAAATCTTCCGTTGTTCGCGTACAACAACTTCAGTGTTTTGTCCTAAGGTTGCCCCCAAGCGCTGGTGCTACGTTCATCAACAGTGCGCTGAAGTCATGAATGTGCACTTCTACCAGGTCTTTGAACCTTTAGCCAAAAATATGTGTGCTGTACGCAGAATTCATTTTGGGGCCGCTGTCTATGTAGATCCTGCACTAAGACATGGCAGCAGTTTTATTCTGCACAAGCACAGGCTGGCTGCCAGGGTCTGACACGTTCGTTGAACTTTACTGACTTTAGTTTATCTTTCGCTAGCCAGATTCTCGAACGGAACAACAACTTAACTGATCTAGAAACTGTTGTTGTATAGAGACGTAAGAGACTAGAGGGAACTACACGAACCTTGTGCCTGTTCTGAGAAAAGCCCCATACAAGGTATGCAAGGGCCAAGTCAGACCAAAGAGCATGAAAGTACATGGCCGAGTTTGAAGTTCCAAGGAGATGAACATGACAGATGGCAACTTGTTTGCACCAAGACTGTGAGAAAGTAAGAATTCCGCTACAAAAAGAAGGAACTTGGAGTCGAGTAGATATGCAGGACGAATGCTGATATTTCGCCTGAAACAGCTGGTTACAAGATCACAATCGTCCTTGGACAGTTCAAGTGGCTTGGCTTCCCAGAATCGTCCCGTAGCCTTTTGCAAATCTAAAGGTGAACACACACGCACATTCATTCTGTGTTGTTTTATGGTATCTTGTGGTGGATATTTAGGAGAGCCGCATTGAACACATTGCTATTTTGGCTTGGCGCCTGATCTGCCACTTTCCTGACTTTCCTCCTCTGTCACTTTCGCTGTCCCGCCAAATGAGATTGAACAGTGCCCCAACACCACCGTAGCTGGGGGAGAGATGTTGTGGCTGGCTCTGTTGGTGAGGAGTTTGATGACATGAAGCTTGCTGCATCCACTGCGCGCGACTGTGGGCTTGCTGGTTTCATGATCTTACTGGGTTGCTCCAGTTCCTATCCCAAGATGCACTTAGCTTTGGGAGGACAAAGGGAGTGCACTTGAGAGCAGTTTGGGTTTCCAAACAACAATGATTAGAAACAACACAGCACACAACAAAACTAAAATAGGCTGCCGCCGGATTGATCGATGCATCGATGGGTCGCGTCTTGTCGTTTCACCGGAAAGGTACGTCGAGTCGCAGTGAACGTGCCACAGATCGATTGACCTGTATCAAGGTCACTTAACGGACATTTGTAACGTGTCCAATCAAGTTCAAGGGTTGACGCACCTCCCAAGTGTTGTGCTCAAGTCAACCTCCCAATGCCGCAATCAAGTTGAGGGCCCGAAACGATTTAAGCTTGTCGCCGTCGCGCCGTTCACAATTGGATCCTGAGACTGCTTGAAACATGAATTCAACCCGTGCGGGCAAGAAGACAATGCATGTTGAGACAGCCTCAAGTTCAACGTGTGCGGCTCTTAGCCAGGCTGTGCGAAACTTTGCCAAATTAAGGGTTCGTTTCACACCACTGGGAGGCCTAGTTCATGCAGAGGAGGCTGCGGTGATGACCAAAGCACCGCTGGACGGTTGATTCATGGCGCCAAAGGACACGTATTTTTGGACGGGGAAGGTCTAGCAGCGAACAGAACGAAAGGCATGAACAGCAAGAACACACTGAATGGCCTGGTGCTTTCCTGTATGACTGCGGTCGTCCAGGAAAACATCCAACAGTTTCTAGCCTTCTAGCCTGGTGCAATGTGCAGGTCGAAGATGGTTCACCCAGCTTCTCTTGGCGTCGAAAGAGCGCAGATCGCAGACTTAAACATGGCGCAGACCTGCAGACTCGCTGGCGCACAAGCTGGTTACAGAGCCGCGAAATTCGTCTCGCCTCCACAGAAGCCCCCGCCATGCACATATAGTATAATGTAATACAGTAATATAACTATAACAATATAATATGCAATAATATGCAATAATATTATCCAGTATACAAACATACACTAGTATGACTATAGATACGCACACTCAATGAGCAATTGGAGCTATGTCAAACCTGTAGCCTCTCCTTTAATTTGTGGCAACGATGTTTGGTCATCCGCCCCAGGGGAATTTGGGACAATTCATTAGATCCATTTTAAACTTGAGGGTCGAACCTCGCATCAGGTTCGCGTCGTTTGCAGAGGCGCGGGTCATGGGTGGTTTTGTGCCGGAATTGGTGTTGCACCACGTAATACCCTGGTATAGCCAAGCACGTTCTTGCGATGCTCAAACAGCAAATCCCTTCCATCCAGCCCAGCCTTTTCAGTTTCGCTCTTCATCGGATGGCCCAGATTGTGGAATGAGGTGCGAGATTCCAGCAGCCCAATGAAGTGAAAACTGGACACTTTCAAAGACTGGAGCCATTTGGTGTCCTGCACGCGTTTCTTTTTTTCCCAAACCTTTGGGTTTGTAGAAACTGGCGGAATGGGGCAGTTGTATTATGTTGTATTGGTTTAAGGGAGCTTTTTGCAGGAAACCATGGCATGGTTTTCATCCCCCCAAACTGTGGGTTTCCTGTATAGTGTTTGCCTGAAAACCAATTCTGGGAATCGTCTAGTCATTTTTCAGCATCGAGACTCCTTAGACTCGTTTCACTTCGGACCCTTACGGAGCTTTTTTCTATAAGCCGTTGTATTTTCCTCACTCGTTTCACTTCGACTTCTGCACGGTCAGCCGCTCGGCTCTCGGCGAAAGCGCCGGAGGCATGGCGATGAAGCGCAAGATGCGCAAGGCGGTCAAGGCGATGGAGGCGGATGAAGCCGTTTCGATCTCGTGTGCCGCTGCGTTACACTTGTGGTGATTCTTCGCGTCGGTTCTGTTCCAATCGCTGATTCGGGTAGTGGAGGAGGAACAGAATTGATCTGACTTTATTCCGTGATGGCAAAATACGGTTTCACCTTTCAGCTGCCTTAAGGGCACGTGCGAACCTCAGCCAGACGCATTTTATGCAGGTGACATATCAGAAAAACTTGCTTCACGGGGTGTCCTTAATCTATTTGCTGTGACCTGCAGGTAGGACTTCTTTCACCTGCACATAGAGTGTGTTCTCTAGTAATTCTCTGGCAAAAGGACTGATAAGGAATAGCAAGAGAACATACCAAAGAGAATTGCCCTGCCATGCTGGTCCGGTGGTGAGACGTCTCTTTCGTGGGCGCGGTTTCGGTTCGGCTTGGATGCCAGGGTGATCCAGGGTGTCAGGGGTCAGACTGTGCTCGCTTCCTCAGGATTACGTGGTTTTTGTCAGAAACATGGGGGAGGTATGGGGAGGTGCAAGTCTTTTGTCACATTGAGGCAAGTCTTGGGAGTCGAAGTACGCTTGGTGTGGTTCGAGTCTTGATCGCCTTTGTCCGACAGGAATGCAAGTGCAACCACCTGAAGCGGAAAGCTTTCTTTCGAGTGACACATGGTTTGCATATACACCTTGGTTTTGAGTCTCATAGAACGATAGTTCTCATTGCGAGGCTCTTTGCCAAAGATCTTCAGCAGACCAATGGTGCCTGTGCTGCCCGGGTGCGGGACAAAGCTGGACAACGATGATCACCGGGCAACATAAATGTATATTCAAGGGGGGAGTACCGCCCCTCTCAATATACATTTCCCGGTCTCCAAATTTCATTCACGGAAAAGTGATTTTACATATATAATTCTTTTTACTTGGGAGTTGTACGTTTCATGAAATTTATGGATGTCCCCGCCCTCTTTCATACATTTTCCTGGAACAAGTATGCTTCCTCACGGAGCCTCACGGCAGTTTCTCCCCTTGCTTTCATACATTATCAGAGAAAAATAGCTTCCATAATTTTCAAACGATTTCCTAACAATTGTTCGGCCGCACATGGCCGCAAATGCACCAATCATGTAGATGTGCATAGGTGAGTGCGTACCCCCACCCCCGCGTGCATACATTCATGTTTTGATCTCCCCTGCCGTTCATACATATCCCGAAAGCAGTGTTTCATAGTGTTTCCAGAAACACCGAGGGAACAAGAAACATGCATATTTTGTATTGAGACATCCTTTTTCCCTATGTTCAACCCCCCCTGTTCGATATTGCCTTTTCAACACCTATCACCCCCATCCGCATACATTAGCAGCAATGTATGAAACCAGCCCCCTAACGATGGCTCACCCCAGATGTTAGAAAGCTGTGTGACCTGCCACCTTGAAAGTGCCAAGTAGTTGCCAAGTAGAAATAGATTCCAGCAATCTTGATTTCCATTGGTCTCGACACCTCCTAAGTAGTTGTGAGGCCACGTCGAGCTTTCGTGACAGATGAGACGGACCTGTCGGGCCCCTGTTTTGAAAGATCGCTCAGCAGTTTTTTCATGATGATTTCTATTCTTCGGATTGCTCAATGTCTTTAAAACTGCAACTTAAAGACACTGCAACTCTGAAACACGGACAACTGTGGACTCTCCCCGCGGCAAGGACCCATGATGTGGATGACTTCCACAAATCTGTTCGCCTCTTGCGCCACGACCTCCTTCCCTCCCGCTTCCGCTTCCACAAGAACCGTAGCTCCACGACCTGCAAGCTTAGGCGGATTCTCTTCATAGAAAGCGTTTCCACAACAAGACAACTGAACGGAAGCGGAGTGACGATAGGAAGCCTTGTGACAGCCTTGTGCAGCAACGCTGTAGAGGCAATTACATAATAGGCAGTTACAGTGTATGTATGTATATATATATATATTTGGGGCCATCGCTAGTAGGTTGTAGGCCATCACTAGTTGTATCACGTTTATCTATACACATCAACCCCCTTGAAAATATGGTACGTATTATCTATAGTCAAAAAGAATGGGAGGAAGAAAAGAAAGTTCCTCCAGCTCCTGCTGCTGGAGCTCTACTATGCTGGTTTGACAAAAGAAACCGTAAAGAAAACAGCCACCATGCAGTGGAGAGAAACTTTCCAGCATCCCCGAGACATCTGCAGACTCTGCGGCGGTGCCAGTGCTGTCTTGATTTGATCAAGTGGTCCGAGAAATCTTGAGTTCTAATACGGATGCGGCAGACGGACACCGAATAGGTCGACAGAGGACATCATGGGAAGCAGTTGGGTGTGAACACATTTCTCCGATGGACACTACGACAGCTTCATTTGCAACTAGCCTAAAACTACCACTTAAGTCACTAGAAAGACTACTAATTACATTCAGAGACATGGCAAGGTTTCCATAGGAATGTGCTTTGAGGCCCGCATGGCTTTCCACCAACTCTTTGGAGGTCTGCTTCTCAGCAAGTCTCGCTGGTGCGAAAATAGGTGAGTAATTACGATGCCTCGCCGCAGTCCCCTTTGTTCTGGTCTTTGCTTGAACTCTTTTTTTGAAAAAAATATACGTAGATCACTTGCTGGTTGGTGTCCCTGGGCGGAACTGCATCAATATATTCAGTTTGGATCGGCGCTTTCAGGCAAAGGCTTGTGTCTGAACAAGTATCCATCCCCATGACGCATGAGACTCGTGAGACACTTCCTGCGGTTTGAGAGATTGTTGCCATGGCACAAGCAGGCCGCACTAGCTGGACTTTGCTTGTTTTTGCCACTGCTTTCAGTATCACAGGCGTGCTAGGGCAGTGGAAGAACTTTGTGCGCAACGGAGGTTGCAGAGTCTGACCAGTTCACTTATATAAGACATTTCACATGCCGCTTGTGCTGCAGCGAATCTGCATTTGTTGCAAAGTGCAGGGCGGATTGGACCTGGTTCTTGCGATACCTTCAGCTGGCATTGCTTTCAGAGTCATGACAGTTGAAGGCCAACCACAACACAATCACTTGTTTTGTTCCATCGAATTTGACCAATACGAGTGGAGGTGGCTTCGCAATTTGTTCGATTCACAAAATGCCAGGCTCGCCTGGCTGCTGATGTTGGTATGCAGGCTGGACATTCTGATCGATCAGAGCAAGTGACGCGCAGACTTGCTGCACTGTTCGTCACTTGATTGAGGTTCATGACTGTTAATGATTCAGTATAGACTTGCCAATCTGCTCTACTCCCTTCGTTTGTCCTCCACACTCGTTTACTCGTTTACCACTCTTTTTCAAGAGGACTCAGGAGCGGCTGGTTTTTCAGATCTGAGAACCGACCTGCTTCCGTCTCCCAAAAGAGCTGATTCCCGTGCGCAGTTTTTCTTCGCCAAAAGCAACGGACGGGCGAATCAGACTGATTCGGAGGTGGGTTTTGGATTCGTTCGTTTTCAGCACACAAGGCCAGCCAACAAAATGCTGAAAAGCAGATGAAGGCAGTGCTCTCTGCAGCTGGTGACTTGGGAGGAGACGACATGAGAATCGGGTTACTGACGATCCCCCGAGGTCGGTGCCGGTCGGGGCGGTTCGTTCCCGTTTCGGCTCATCCGTTGGGCGCCATGACCGACCGAAGGAAACACGTGTCATTGAGCTCATTGAGCTCATGGTTCTATTGAATATGATGGTACGAACCATGGTTCACCACGCTTCTTTCAAGTCCAATATGTGCCAGTGCTGATCTACTCGATTTGCAGGAGCTAGCATGTTTTGGGCAGAGGGGAGCCTTTTTCCGCAGGCCGGGACCACATGTGTGTGTGAGAGTCCTTTTTGAGCTTTGGCTTGTTGAAATCAAACATTACAGGGAAGCGGAGGTGATCGTGGCCTGTGGAATGAATTCCTTCTTCATTTTCCACATCTATCCTTTCCAACTCGGAGAGCTTGTCTCGAAGTCGATTTGCCCATCAGGCTGCAGACATGGTTCCGCTGCGAGAAAGGCATGATTGCTGTGGTTGGGATTCGTTCATCAGGCTGAATCTGAAGGGGGGCACCTGAACCTCTACAAAAGAGGCATGTGACCGATTTGAGGACTTGCCTTTGGTTGGTGTCAGTGTACTAGGTATATACAAAATATGGGAGCAGGACTTACGTCCAGCAGCTTTCAAGAGTTGTGAGTTGCATTGGACGCCAACTGGCATCACAAATGGAACTCCTTGGACAAGGGACGTTCGAAGAGCTCGAAATCCACACATGATGTGGCCCCACAAGTGTACTCTTCCATATTCCGTACGTTTCTGCACAACTGAGAGTTAGAAGCAACCTTACTATTGATCAACGTCCTTCACTCTTCAATACTCTTCACCTCTCGTTCTGTCGATGAGGCCCAGCCTTCTCAAGGATGTGGCTGATGCAGATGAGTTCTTGCCGAGACCTTGGCGCTCCCATTTCGAGGTGCCAAACACCCGCACCTGGCACACCGTGAGACCTCGGCTCGAATCCGACGACCGAGCCGCCCCAGATCGATCCGCACCGATGTCCACCCCATGGATCGCACATATCGCCCGGTTTGGCACGGCTCGTTCTTTACCGTTCTTGGGCACCATTTTCCTGCATCGGTTTTGTTTGGAGCCTCCCAGATGGTACAATGCCACGAAGCTGTTGAGCATTGTGGGTCGCAACCTCACGACAGCGACCGAAAAGTAAAGGTTTGGCAGCGAGAGGGCTGACATCCAAAAAACAGACACAAAACAACTAATTATGAACATGATGAACCACAAGCAACACAATGCAATGTGAGGCAAATCCCATGCAACGACGTCCCAATCAGGATTCATTGAGATCTGACCAGCTGGAGGAAGGTCTCTTAGATTCAACCGCGAAACAGCTGCGATGCTTCCACCGGATGCCTGGGTCTCCTCGTCTGAAAAAATGGCCGGCCTATTGTTACAAAAGCAAGAAAAACAACGTCTTTCCATCCTGGGGATGGAATGAGCTTGTTATCTGTAAGGCCACTGCCCTTAGCGCGGGGGCTTGCAGCCGCTGCACAGGCTGGACTAGTTCAGTGGACGTGTCATGAGGGAAGGTTCTCAAAAGCAAAACTCTCACTCTTTGGAATGATTGAAGGAAGTCTGGAATGTTTGTTGCCGAGTTTTCAACGTGTTTTTCTCAAATTGAAGGGGTTCGAATCCCTCGACCGGTCGGGCAATTCCTTGGCAAGGTCCTTGCCGCCCTGCTGTGTGCTGCTGCTGCCAGTGGGCGCCAGGTGCGACTCGAGTCCGGTTCCGGTCTGAAAGGATCGGCCCAACCCCGGCCCCACATGGAGAATTCTGTAGCGGGTGATGTTTTTTGGGGAACTGCGTGAACTGCGGAAGCGTGCTTTTGCTCCGTTCGTAGGGAACCTAGTAGCGTCCTTGCTCCTAGTAGCGATACCCTTTGCTCCTAGTAGCGTCCTTGCTCCTAGTAGCGATGCCCTTTGTTCCTAGTAGCGAACCTTGTTCCTAGTAGCCAACTGCGTGAACTGCCAACTAATCACTGAAGTGGTACACACATAGCCCATAGATGCCGGCTATGGACCCCTGGCCGCCCTCGCCACGTGTCAGAGGCCGTGCTGGCCGTCTCTCTGACAATCGTCCTGGGGCCTGTGAGCTTAGTTTTGAGGAGAAATTGCACGTCAATCCGATGCTTCAAAGGGCCACTAGGTCATAGCTCCTCAATCCTCTATGCAGTCTGGCGTGTGCTTTCTGCAGCTATGCCAAAGCAAGCCTGATATGAGGCTGTCGATCTACCTTCATCGTATGCGTTTGCCCTTCTTGCACCAGCGCTTTCCTCAGAAGAGCGGGGAAGTCGCCGAGCGAGTTCTTTGTGCTATGCTGTGTTGTGGATTTGTAAGGTGTCGAACACCTTAATGCGTCACCTGCCTCCAGTCTACCCGTCAAGTCCTGCCTTATTGTGTATTTATTGCCCTTTTTTGTTTAGATGCCACTTCCTGTCAAGGATTCGTCGCATTGCTTCTGTGACTGAAGATGCTGCAGTTCTGCGCTCAGAAAGAAGAATCAGTCGACAGGTTTTCATCACGCCACATCAGGCCACAGGTCGAACATTTGAGGCCGGGGAAAGCCAAGTCTACAATGCTTATTTCCTGTTCCTTTGTGCTGGTTCGCTCCAGCGTTCAGATCGAGCTTGGGGCCCAGGCCCTCCGGCTGAAGCATCTGGCCGAGTGCTATGAGGCGCCCCAGCGAACCTGCAAGCTTGAAGCAAGCTTTGCTTAGCCATGCGGGTTAGGGTTTTTGCGGGTTTGGCCAAGATAAGGGGGCGAAGATGGTAGCGTAGTACTGTAGATCTTAGTAGTCACAATTTGGCGGGGAAATGCAACACATGGTTTGGACGCAAATCTTGGACATTCGCGCAGAAGAGCACGGGCGAAGAAGTTCATTTGGCTCTCAAATCTCACTTCATGCCATAGCGTTGTTCTGCATAGTCAAGCTGCGACTGCGACTCGGGGCTGCGAAAGACTCTGAGTGCTGATGACTGGAAACAGCTGGGTGCCTTAACGTTCCTGTTGGTTGTCTTGTGCCCTGAAGTGGGAGCTCTTGCCATGGTTCGTTTTGGATGCTGCGGTTTTTGGGAACCATTTTGCCGGGGCGATCAGTAATTTATGCTGACGGAAGGACACGTTGGGTAGATTTCATGGTGTTCCCTTGCCGAATCCAAGAAGGTGCTTCGAGTTCATGGTCGGCTGCAAACGCTTTCCGATGACTATGAGGCCATGTCGGGATGGGTCAAAGCCTGCCGTGCGGTTCTTTGAGAACGACCATTCATTGAGAACGACCATTCATTTAATGCCAACCTAAGGCTAACCGGTGGTTTCGCATAATTAAATCAGCAGCAGCAAAGGACACAACAGTACAATTTCTTGGGTGGCAATGATTGGTCGGGGCTCTCTTTGTGGGATGAGAGTTCCAAAACCATCATTTCAAGCCACCAAATTTATGGAGTAATTTGGGGAATGTTTCAGCAATTTGCAACATAGTTTGCTCAGGAGTTGGTATGTTTTGAGCTGGCTGACCGAGGCCCTTTGCCATGACCGTGCACTGGTGGCCACTGCTGCAGATGCAGCTGGGAGGTGCGAGTTGACGAGTCATTCGACTCGCGATCCGAGTCGTGGGATGGTATGTGGATGTCTGAGAACAATCCGATGAGGTCGGGAAATCCACCAAACATGACTCCTCACGGGTCGTGCGACCTCTTCCCACCCACCGTTGCAAAGTAGTAGCTAGTCCGTGGCCCGGCTTGCAAGCGCTCCATGGCGCTCCACTGAAACTCAGACATGCGTCGAAAGAATCGAGCTCCCAATATATCATATGATTCTGGAGCTTCCTCCAAGACTTCTGCATATATCATGTAATTAGCTAAATTTACTCTATATATATACATAAATCCTGAGCGGGCGGTTATGCCTAAGATCGGAGCTTGACACTGTCGCTTGGTAGCCCGTACAGAGCAGCCCTTTGTACTTGGTATCCAGATTGCCTGTTCCTTATTTTTGGGCAGGACGCGTTTGATACGGCCGTTCGCTACTACAATTTTCTCCATCACACCTAGGTGCTAGGGCATTGGTGCTGGCTACCACAAAGCTTTTTGCCAACAATGCGCATAAAAGTAAAACAGATGTTGCTGCACAAGTGGATTTGGATGCTCCAATGCAAATCTTGATGCGTTACTGAAACTAAACATTCGGCTTGTTCAAAGCCTGTCTTGGAAGATGTTTGCCATGATTGCTGAGGTGGCTTTACACTCGCTTACACTGCTGCGTATCGCTCCTGGTGGGATTGCTTTGCTTCTCCACATTGACACAGGCTGGTGCCTCTTGCAGGGGAATTCGGAACACCTTCAGTTTCATTGAGATTCTTCGTTTGGTCGTTCACTCGTCACTCGTTTCGCTCGTGCCAGAAGGTTCTTCGATGGTTCGCATCCATTCCATAGAGGTTCCCTGTGAGACTGATGTGGTTGGAACCTGATGGCTGAAGGTTCGACCTACTCGCTGTGAGTTTTAAACATAAAGGAAGCTACAGAATCATTTGCCATCGATACGGCCATCGATGGCCGTGTTCGCTTGCGAAACCGTTCGAACTCACCACGTCGGTGTGGCAACTGCAAGAGACTTCAACGATCGGCCGGACTTCGCAATGTGGCTCAAGCAGTTTTGATCCAGTGTCAGTGTGGTTGAGAACCGGCAAGGAAAGAGAGATGGCAGGCGAGGGGACACAGCATTTCTTGACCTAAAAGATCCTCAAAGCATTGTGAAGATCTTTGAAGGATGCAATCCTTTCTCTTCCATATCTTTTCCACCTTCAAGCACCCTGTAGTCGCACGTATCACTGTAGCATTGCATTGCACATATTGGGATACAAAGTGCTGAACCCACTTCCGCTGCCTTTGACAATTCAACGTTCGCCTTGTATTTCCCGAACAGGTTGCTCGGAACTAAGGGGTTCTTACTCTCAGGGTGAGGCAGGGGTATTGCCGCCGGTCGCTGGCTCGATTTTCATGGCAGGCGCAGCACACATGTTGACAAGTGTATGCATTAGTGGCAAATATATTTCTTTCCGCACATGTTAAAATATGTATATATATATACATATACACTGTATATTATATACATTTGAAGTGGTTTGAAGTCTTCACGGTCTTTGCATAATGGTTGCTTTAAGTGGCAGGCGCAGTACTTCCATTGTACGAGGCCGCAGGCTGTTCCGCAACGGTGTTCTCGTTGGTGCCGTGCACATTTTCAGACTTGCTGGTCACTTTTGTGGCATTGTGGCAGTGCGCATGCAGATCTTCGTGTTTTGATGGGCTCAAGTCAACTCTTCGTGGCCGGCGCAGAATATCCGAGCCATTTTACTTTGATGTGCAGATTTCGTGGCAGGTGCAGTACTTTGGACTTGGTGATGGTCTCTGGCATGCTCAGATTCCATGGCAGGCACAGTGAATCGTGAGCGTTGGACTTGTGGCTCATTTTTCGAATGTGGTTGAATGTGGGACAAGAGCGCGAAAGCTTCGTTTTGGTATCTGAACTTGTCTTTGGAAGTGCTTGGTTGCCAAGAGCATGGCACTGCAAGTGCAAATTTTGTGGCAGGCGAAATGCTGTGTGAACTTCACTGTGCCAGTGGGCGTAGCTCTTTGTGAACCTAAGTGTGCAGATTTTGTGGCATTGTGAACCTCGATGTGCAGATCTTGTGGCAGGCGCAGCACTTTGTGAACCTCGATATGCAGATCTTTTTGCAGGGAAAGTCGTGTTATGTGAGCCTTGGGGTGTTCAGGTGGCGCTTTGTGTGAACCTTGAAGTGCAGAGTTCGTGGCCGTCCCAATGTAGCTGTAGCTGTGCTCTCTCTATCTCTCTCTTTTTCTCTGAATCTCACTCTATCGCTTTCTCTGAATCTCAATTTCTCTCTCGCTCTCGCTCTCTCGCTCTCTCGCCCTCTCACCCTCTTGCGCTCGAGCTCGCGCTCTCTCTCTCTCTCTCTCTCGTGCTCTCGCTCTCGCGCTCGCTCGCTCATGTGTGTGTGTGTGTGTGCCCACCCCTGTTTCCAAGGGCCTTACTCTAGCTATTCCTACTATTCTCCTCAACCACTTGTACAGAACACTTGCACGATGCGGTAGCAAGGCAGAGAGTCTACCACCAACGAAGACGCTCTCTAAGCCTTGGTGATACTGGGACTGATCATCCCAGCGTACCTGCAGTTTTTTAATCTTCATTGATTGATGCTTCTAAGTCAGTTCAACGCTGTTTCAACAATTCTGTTCGACCGACTTTGCACCTTCCTTTAGTCAAGGTCTAATCTGCAGTAACTCTAAAGAGCTAATGCACTCCGCGAAGCAGCCTGAAATCGCGCTCTACGGAGCAACCTTCTCAAGTGTGTGTGTGTGTGTGGGTGTGTCAACCCCTGTTTCAAAGGGTTCTCCATCAGCAGGGGAGTGGAGCAGGCCTGCATTAACAAAGCTCCCTGCAGTGCCCTGAGGATATCACTGGAGACGTCCAGCGAAGCGACGTGCCTGCCAAGTTGTGATGTTTTCAAGCCGTCACGCCAATTTTTTCCGTAAGGTGCTAACGCGTGTGTTCAACACTTCTGTTCCTTGGGCCCTTTCGCCACTCTGTTCCCTCAGCCAAGGTCTAATTGCTGTAAGGTCAAGGGCTAGTGCATCGGCATCGTGCCACTGCGGTGTGCCATGTGATCCCGTCGGGGCAATTACTTCACTCCTTTTCGGAAAGGTGGTCTTAACTGATTGAGCGGAATTGCATTGTGAGCCGTTTTCTGAGCACAGTGATTCCCTTGAGAGAGCTGAACAAATACCGTCGGGTTCACGGAATTCATTCTTACTGACTAATTCATGCATTGATTTCTCTGCGTAATTCACGCATCGGTCCCTCTTTTAAACTGTTTTCTCTCCTTGCGCTTTCTCTTTCTAGTTTTTTGTTCGTTGCTAGAGGTTTGTTAGCTTGTAAATGAGGTTTTTCAGTCCAGGGTCTGCCGGATTCAACTTTGTGGCCAAGTGCCTTTCAACACAACCCCACGCACCCCCACACCCCCTTTCTCTCCTGGTTTTTTTCGTTCGTTATGTCTTATTCTTGATGCTTGCTGGGTTGTTTTTCTCATGTTTTCTCTCCTTTGTTTCTCTTTCCAGGCCTTTTTCTCTTCTAGAGGTTTTTCCGATGTGTGTGTCCTCTTATGTGCCTCTCAAAGGTGCTTGCATATGTGTGCTCGCATCTGCGTGCGTGCTCTCATGTCTCGTCTTGCGTGTGTACTCTCATGTGCGTGCATGTGTGTGTATATATATATATATAAGTGTGTGTGTGTGCTCTCCGTTTGCCTGTGCTAGCTTGCATGTGGGCTCTCACATGTGTTTCTCATGTGTTTTTTTTATTTGCTCTGTATTTGTGATGCTCTGACTTGAAAAAGGTCAACACATTCAAGACATCAACGTTCTATATAGAAACCTTCATTAAAGAATGAATTTCAACGTTTTGCATACCTAGCTTTACATTAGCCTAAGTGGATCTGAAATTCAACTTCCAAATTTATAGAAATTGTATACATTGTTATATATTGGACTTCAAATTTTGTGTTGGAAGCGTGTGGCCAATAGCTGAAATCGGCCATCGGGGGACACATATGGAGTGCCAGAACACTCTGGCCTGCTGGGCAGAGCGGTTGCGCGTGCTTCACAGGACTCATCCTTTGAGAAGCAACTGGTTCTCATAGGTCGATGCACGCATGTGCAGATTGCGCGCATCTGTGGGGCTTCGGATGTGATGAAGGACAATTGTCAGGGAGCCCAGCTAAGGGCCCCGGTTCTCGAACTGCCTGTTCAAATCGATGTTCAACCTACTAGGGTTGGCCTCCAACCTAAGGGCGATGGCCTCCAACATCAATTCGATGTTCGACCATTCGGAGAACAACCGCCTTCTTCCCGTGGTTCCATTTTCGCTGCTGAGTTTCGCGCGTTCCGAGAAGCCACTAGAGCGGTTGCTCAAAATGCCGCCTATTCAAAAGGCATCAAAAAAGGCCATCGTGATTGGAGGGCCCCACTGATGGGGGAGGCAAAAACTGTCTGCGGCCTTCATGCTCTTCAGCATCTGCACTGATAACGTGGATGGCGCGCAAGAACAGACCAGTACATGCCTGGAGAACTAGGTAATCTCCCCAACTTCATCCAGATACATGTGATCAATATATCTAGAAAGTGCCCGCAGCTATCCTCCATGATCCGCATGTAGGTGCACATTGCTTGGCGGAGAGTGTTGTGATCGAGGGGCACACAGCGCTGAATGATACTGTTCACCCTCCCACTGGTCATGTCACAACCCACTCGAAGCAGTAGCTGAAATTCAATTTTCCACCATTCGGACATTCCTTTTCCAGCCTCTACCCTCTTACGTGTGCTGCTCTTGTATGTGTAGTGTCATGTGTGCGTGCAATCATGTGTGTGATCGTATGTATGTGCTCTCATATGTGTGCCCACAGGTGTGTGCTGCCCAAAGCGTGCGCTTTCATGGTGCTGTGTTCCAGTTTGGGTCTCTTGCGGATGGAGACAAGAAGTCACCTCAATTTGAAACATCCCTGCGAAGTTGATCTGCCAAACCCTGGGGTAAACACTTTTCTCAACGAGCACAGAAAGACCAATCCTTTGGTCTTTGTGCGCTACACGGCGCCCAGCGATGTTTCTTTTTTGGATTCGATTCCAAAAACTACCAGTGCTAGTGCTATCTAAAAACGGATTGAAAACTCTCACAGGGTTTGTTGGCGTATGATTGGCAGGTGCATTTGCGAAGACGCAGTGCCCCGGCTGCATCTATAGCTTGGGTCGAGCAGTTGTGTAGGGCGTTGAGCATTGCAGCACAAGATTAGACCCTAGATTGATGAAACAATATTTACCTAGCAAACACTGTTTTGCTTTAGTGCTGAAAGAACCTCTGAAATCCCCTTAGTTTGAGGGTTGTAGAAAGGGCCAGGGCTGTATTTTTGTAGGCAACATTTAGAGAGTTTGGAGATGTTGGCGCATGTTTCTGCCATGCTTGAATTCGTAAGTGTGGCGTTAACGACTTGGGATGGCGTCGCCATTGGTTGAAACCTCGAGTTCTGGTGACCCTCGAATAGTGGGCGCTCCACTCAACAACTGAACGGCCGTTCACGGTCTGTGGGCCCGGTTTGGGGGCGCCGTGGCCTGAAGCAGCATATGGTTTCGCGTCGGGATCGCGAGTTGCGTCCATTGTTGAACTGGTCGGAGTTGGACCTCGACTTGTACCGTGGAGAAATTCTATTCAGCTGGTAACCTGTGAAGGGCTCGAGAGCTGGTGACCTGTTTGAAGGATTAGTCCAGCGGTTTGACAGCGGTTCAGGAAAGGTTCATCCCCGGCATGCTGATGCGTTTTTGCCAACTCTGTACCACGTGCACATCAACGCCTAATGGGCTTTGTGTGGTGTCTAGCAGACACGTACAGTTGCAGACAACTGCTTGTTATATATATATATATAGATGTATCATAAGTATACTATTGTATTTGTGGAAGTAAACAAGTAAATTATATGACACTTTTTGTCCTTTTCTTTCGAGATGTTTACAGTGCAAGTTGGCCTATAGAAGGCTCGGGTTGTGATACCTGACAGTGAAAGACTTGTGACTTGCTGAGTACGACCCCTTTTTTTGAAGAGAGCAGGTGTGGGAGAGGGCACCCTATCCCCAAACCCTTCACAAACACTGCAAATACCACGCAACATTTGGTTCTTTCTCTGCTTATTATCAATAATTGCCTGGTCATGCGGAATCATCTATTTGTTCTTGGCTGCTTGGCTTCGAATCAAGTGTTTGGCTTCAGTCTCTCATCTCACCACTTGCTTGTTTTGAGTGATTGATGTCAGATATGCAGACTTGAGCTGCAGCACTGTTCCAGCAATTTTGCCCTGATCTCAACAGCCATTTCTATTGCTAATCATTGTCTCGTTCTATTCTTCCATATATGCTTTAAGTGTTTTTGAAACAGCCTTGGACAAAACAACCGGTTTAAATAGGAAATTTGCTAATTGAAGAGTTCTTTGTATCATTGGCAAACAGCCTTCATTGCTGTATGAGCTTGGCTGGCATTTTGTCCAAACCAAGAGAACCAAGAACTATGAACCAAGAGAAACAAGAACTATGACGAGAAAACCACAAATACATGTATAACTTGTTGCCTGGATAAAAGTTAATCAATCTCCTTGCACCTGGTCTAGCTCATTATCTTCTTTAGTAGTGTTGTCCTTCATTTGGATTTGAATGTTCTCAAGAAGGCCCATCATGTTCCAAAAGAACAGGCAAAACAAGACAAAACAACTTGACCAACACAACCCGTGTGAAGATTGAATCCTTTTGGTGCTCAATGTCAAAACACACTTAAGAGACTTAAGAGTACGTATATAGAAAAGACAAACAAGACATGCTGACACAATTGAAAAGACCGTGAACAGCTTGCAGGGAAGAATGCTAACGGAGAGGAAGAGTTAAATGAACAAATGATATTGTAAGTCAGTAGCATCAGCAGTTGAATAAGAGGAACGAGAGCCTTCCAATAATCAACAAACAAGGCTAAAGGGAACGACCAATTGGTTGAGTATGGGCCCAAATGTATTCTGCTCAGTTTCTGTTGCAATAGATCGTCAAACAGGTGCTATATAAACCCTAAACAGACAACTGGACCTTCAGAAATTATGCACATAGACCTTAGAGAGCTTTAAGGCCACATCGCCAAACAGGTGCTAAACCCAAACACTCAACAAAAACAAAATGAAACAAACAACAAATAAGCCAACACTAACAACAAAAGAACAATGTTTGAGATAACATATCCCTATCCTATGGTTGCCTCACTTTGTATGGACCTTTTTGTTGTGTTTCCTGTTATCCTCTCCAAATCCCAATCCTGGTCTGAACAATTCTTGATCACAATTTGCTCAAAAACCTAGGTTTTGGAGGTGCTACATTAGTCGCATCAGTGTCCCGCCCCCCCAAAGTCACTTGCTGAGCATGGCAAGTTAAGGTCCCGAAGCACCTCATGCTCTCCGTCTCCAAGCCCTTCCAGATGCAGGGTTTTGCTTGAAGATGATATGAATGCAGTGCCTGGCAACAGAAAGATGTGAGTCGTTTGGTGAATTGCTGCACAGACCCACCACAGCCCCCAAAAATTGCTCACCCTGCATCTCTTCTTTCGAGGTCTCCATGTTTTTTTCACGCGCGCCGCCCGGCCATCCACACGTTAACAGTATCACGCGGCATCATCCAAATTTAGATGGGTTTGGTCGTTAACAGTATCCACATGTATCCACTCTCAAGGAGAAAAACCCACGTCGGCGCCCCCTGGACACCTGGACGCCTGCACGAGCATCGCAGCATGCTGCCTTTGCATGCTGGCGACGCAGCATTGCGTTTGGACGCAACTACATCAGAGACTTTAGTTGTCCAACCCGCGAAAAACATCCACCTGGCGGCAATCCTTTTCACAGACTGTCTCAGCGTTCAAATCTGCTTGTTCTTTGGATTTGGGATGGGTCAAACAGGCTACCCTGGTTGACCTATCAGATATGGTCAACAACCTACCAGGGTGAACCAGGCTCGGGGTTTTGACCCAAGCCGCATGACCCAAATTCCCAAGGCGATTAATTCGTGGCAGCTCACCTACGGTGCCTTGCTGAAACCACAACGTGTCAACACATTGCAACATGAGGAGCGAGGGTTGTTGGGGTTTGGGGAGTGACAGGTCAAGTGGAGTCTTTTCAAAAAACTCGGGTTCGATTGGTGTGTTTTATGATATTTATGCACCATCATTTTGTGTGATTCATTGTTCCTCGATTGCACCAAGACTTACACCTTACACCTTTATAAAATACTTGCTTCTCCTCTTGTCATCGGTCTAAGCCCTGAACAAGGGTCCCAAGTCGTTGGCCAAAGCTCTCTACAGCTTTTGGGCGAAGCTGTTTTTTATGCGCCACCTGAGTCAGTGAACCTAATAGCGATGACCTCCAACCTTAATAGTGATGGCCTCCAACCTAATAGCGATGGCCTCCAACCTACTAGCCCTTTTGGATGATGAGTGATAGTGATAGAAATCAGGATCTCTGCAAACATGGCCATGCATTCCCATTGTGTGGCTGCACTTCTTGCCAGGAGTTCTCGGCTTTGATCGCCAGCACATTCAGGGGTGCGGAAAGCCATGAGGATGACAGTGAGAAGGGCAAACGCTGAAGACAACATATGGCGGTCCTCGAGTCAAATGCATTACTGACACTTTGGATGGGAATCACCATTCTGATTCTGGTTCCTGGAATGGTTGCTGGACCATGAGCGTCAGCAGTCTGATGTTTGATCGACGGGTAGATTCAACCCGTAGGAGTCGCTTTTAAAGCGATTGACTCCTATCTACCCCATGGAAAACTAACATGGACCCTGAAAACCACTGGTTTGTAGAGGAAACTTTTTTTCCGGGTCCCATTTTCAGGTTTCATGTTGTTCTTCCCAGGTGTATAGCTTCCCAGCGGGACGTGTGTTCGACGACCGGTCGCTCGGTGAACACGGCTTCGTCCGAGCTCCGCTGCTCCGAGGGGAGCAGTACCTGGCACCAGACTGGGCCGAAGCCCGGAAAGATGGCAGGAGATGACTGGGCACAGCGCTTTGAACAGATAGCACAGTACAGCGCTCTATAGAAATCTATATGCAGCATGAGTTTTGATGTGAGAGCCATCCCTCCGGGGCAATTCAACATATGCGCTCCTTTTTTCAGGTTGCAGCAGCTGGCTTTCATCATTCTAAGCAGCCTTTGCAAAACCACGACCTTGGTCGTGGGTGAAGGTTTCATGTCAGTTTTTTGTTTTGTGGTACTTCACACGATCTGTGGTTGTCCTGGCTTGCATACGGGAGAGATATCCCTGTTTCAGCCCCCATCTTTGGCTCATGACTTCTTTAGGGTCTTCGGGATTCCCAGGAGTTGCTCAACCATGAAACACCGCCCCCAATTGTTGCTCAAACAGGAACCAAACTTATTTGGTGCCGGGTTCGAAAGACAAGGGGGACCGGACCGAAAACGCTGCGCCGCTGCGACTTGAAGGAGTTTTTTGCATGCGAAGCAATCGCCAACACATGAGGTTTGGTTGTAAGGGACCAAGCCTCAGGTTCCCATACACTTTGAAGCAGCTTGTGTGGTGAAGCTGGCTCCTTCCGAGGCTTAAGCCTTTTCGACGAGCCATGCCATCATACCCAGATGCGTGAGATGAAAAATTGCATGACTGAAGGGAGCATAAGTGAGCTATGGGTTGCAGCAAGTCGACAAGGACGTTCAGGGATGTTCAAACAAGCACGAGTGTCTTGCCAATATCTCTTCATACTCCAAGCCTTGTGGCTGCGCCAGCCTTCACTTCACCTGGATTAGATCCATGCCTTTTCGGCCCACATCGGGACCACCGTTCACACTCCCCACTGGCCCGTGGAAATGACCTCTCTCTAGGAAACAGAATTTGAGATGAGTGGAGGGAGTGTCCCATTTCCTGTAGCACTGGGCAAAAGAGTATCACTATTTTTGAGAAAGGTCTGCAACCTAACCATCATCATCATCATCATCATCATCATCATCATCATCATCATTCCACTGTTGCTGGTAATGGGATATATATATATTTATACATACCAGATGAGTGATGAGTGTGAACACGCCATGCTTGGGATTTGGGAGGCGCCTACAGCCTTGCCTTCACGCATGGGTCTTGCTGTATCCATTGCTGCGTTGGTGCAGGTGGGTGAAGCGAGGGAGAATCGAGCACGAGCCGCCAAAGTAGCTCGATAATTCTTTACTGCGGCTCCTGCTTTTGCTTGTACTTCTCCACTTTGATGTTGGTTTTCAGAGACACGTCCAAAAGGTGAATCTTGTACTATTTTGGTTGCGCATACATCGCTCTTTAGGCACGCTTCATGAGCTGCTGGAGGTATCCTGCATGAGTAGGGAAATCAGCCACTTTCTAGTTCCAGTTTCAAGGAGAAGGAAGAACTTTATTGGGCTTTATACTGGATGCCTGAGTAAGTGCCAGTCCATCACAGATATTCACTCATTCGCCATCCTTGTTGTGCCTTGAACGGTGTTGGAGTTGCCTGAAAGGGATGGGAAGGCAGCAGGTCGATTCACATTCACTACATTAGACTGAGACTTGTATAGCATAGAATGGTATTGACATGTTCATAGTGGACACATTGGACGGCTTCCGGGGGGAGTTGTGTAATTGATTAATACTCAGATGGTTTATTGACAAAACTCAGAATTACATCGATCCTGTCATTTCTGCAGAACAGGTGGCGGTTCTACCGGATGCTGTCGTGGAGTTGGTGAAGTATGGCGTTCCTTAGATGGGAAGGGGACACTCCAAACGGGAAGCAAGCGAACACCCAACTCGGAGTACATATTCAGTTTGAAGCAGACCAAGCTGAAATCCAACCCCGACCTCCCTCGCCTCCCTTGCAGTCAATTTCAGCTTGATTCTTGACTTGGCCTTCTACCTTTGTTTTTTCATGTTATCTCAACTTATCACTGTTCATTTATCATCACTGTTAAGATCTCATTTAAGCTTTGGATCTGGCTTTGTCCAGCATGGTCCTCGTTGACATGACTTTCGCACCAATTCGTTTCGTGATTTGGCAACGGCACTCGCCTCTTTGGGGTGTGTCGGGCCAGCCTGGCCTCGCTGCTTTCAGATGAGCTCGAAAAGCCGCAGATCTTGGCAAATCTCTCCATAATTCTTTGGCTCATTACACCTGTTCCTCTCTCAGCATTATTTGATCGACGTTCATTTGATCGATTCTGGCTTAGCTCTCTTGCCTGCGGTTCTGATCGACGAATGGCTACTCTTAGTTCACTCCCGCGGAACTGAAATAGCTGGCTAAAAGGTGAATGGACGATAATGGACGTATTTTTGATCACTTCCAAGAGGTGAACGATGCAGGTTCCAAAGCTGTTTGATCTCTGACACATCATATTTTCGATCTTTTTTTTCAAGCCCGGGGGTGGAGGCCGCCAGGAGGTGAGGTAGCGAATAGCTAGAAGTAGCTACTACCTACAAGTAAACTACTACCGACTGGACGCAGGATAGCGCACTAATGATTGGTTCCTAGATTTTTAGGGATGCTGGTCCTGGATGGATGGACACTTACTCTTGTTCCTGGATGGATGCTGCAGGTCTGTAGCTCCCATGTCGAAACACAGCTAACTTGAAGCCACACGAGCTTTGTAGGGTTTTTTCATCTAAGGCTTGCACTTACGCTTAAACTAAATCAGGATTTGGATGATGAGATCGCCAAAGCCTTGCGTGCCCAGCAGCCCTTGGGCCGAGGGTCTCTCCACTCATGGTTTGGCAGCTCTTCGGCGAATGTACCAGCTCGTGAAGGTGGGGTTCAGAACAAGAAGACTGGTGATGATTTTGGAATCGACGAGAGAAGACAATAAAATAGAACATATACCTAATAGCGATGGCCTCCAACCTATCAGCGATGGCCTCGAACTGGTAGACAGTCTCCTTCCCAGCACACATCTCCGGCAGGCCCTTGCTAGGCAAACAAGTCGCACAATTGAAAAGAGGCACACACAGGCTTGCGACGCTATGGCAACGCAAAGCAATTTTCAAGGACAACGAAGCAAGAAACAACTCTGAAATGAGAAGTAAATTCCTCTCAGGCTTATGGAATGTTATAAAGGCAAGTTTCTTCACTACATGCCCCACTGAATCAAAGGCCACTTGCAATTTGCAGCATGCACGTGCTTTACAAACTGCGTGCTTTACACTGCTCGTAGGACGCACAGCTGTGCATTCTCGAACGCAAGCTGGCATTTTGGCCTGCCCTGTCGGCTGCTTCATTTCCTTCCATAATAGTAGGAAGCCGCGGACAAGCACAATTATTGCAGCTGCCACGTGCGGTGTAGACAAACAACTATTGACCGAATCACCTTAGGCACCCAGCAATAAGCATCGTCCAGCTTTCTGAGCAGTTCTTGAGGATGCATCAGCTCAAGCTGCTCAAGCATAAGGCATGACAAGGCAGCCATCGAAAAATCAACGACCACCAGCAGTGCAAGGCAGAACTGTCGTCCTCAGATTCACTTGAACAACAAAAATCAACGACCACCAGCTTGACCGGATTGGTGCGTGAAGCCGCAAGAGCCATCGTCACAAAGATCCTCAAAATGCAGCGGTGCCACTGCAAGTGCACTCGAACTTCCACAATACTCCGCATAGAGTTCTTATGAGTTCTTTGGTGATCCCAGATGCAAGAACATTTGCGTCGCAGAACCTGAAGGTGCATCTCGGAAAGCGACATGACCTGACAACGCTCCGGACTTCTGTCAGGTTGAAAGGCAAGGCTCCAAATCCATGGCATGGCGGTAAGCAAGTTTGGGCTATACACTGGGGCTGTGGTGGTGATTTGGACACTGACCTGACTACATTGTGGTATGGTCCAGGGTCACCTCAAACCCACCTGGCAAATTGAGGAAGAGGCAAATCCCCTACGCAATCTGGCGCACCTGCGATATTTTTCGAGCCACAGCCATGTCTCCAAGACGTTTACGTCCCAGCCCCAATCGCTTGAAACTCAAAGGAGCTTTCATGAGCATTGAGCATTGGGCTGAGAGCCACTAAGACGTCCCCATCGTGTTCCTGATCCGTTTGGTGGCTCTTTTTCATGCAGCTCGTTTCATTGAGTGAGTCGCTGTATGCGAGACAACGCCTAGCAAGGTTAATGCATTTGCCAATTCCGTTTCAGCATATAAGTAGGCTTCGCCTTTAAGAACACAATGTTAGGCTTGGCTTTGCCCGTCAAGACAAGTGGTCCGTCCGTTGTCTTTCTCGCTTGCCCTGCAACATTCATGAAGGTGTGATGCCTATCCTCTGTGCACCGCCAGGAGACTCAGAGTGAGGAGCTCGAGAGTCCCATTTTCAGTGTCTCGCGGGGCGAGCTGCCCACAGACCGACGAGGCTGCCTTGCTCTTCAGCAGCTGTTGGTGCAAAAGAATGACAGAGGATCCAAGCATAAGAGGAACGAAAGACAGGAAAACACCGGGGCCACCCTTGCTTGAGCACGTTTCTTGGTGTTCGTTTCCCCATTTCCGGCGCCGCTCGCCTGAAGCGCTGCTCGAGGCCTCGGTCAGCCCATTCATCGGGCTCGAAGCGGCAAGGCGAAGAACCGGAGACAGACCGGAGAGAGCTCCGGGGATCGTTCAGAGCCGTCTCCAAAAGAAGTGGATGAGCAGGAGGAGTCGCAAAGGAATCGCACATAAGTCTATAAAAGTATGACCTTTTTCTGGAAGTGTTGCAAGTACTTCTCATTATAACTTACATCATGTTGATGCTTCGAAGATGTTGCGATGCCGCGACACATGGTACACTTATTTGATGCTTCCGATTTGTGCGTCATCCCAGTGCTAGGACCTGATTTAATTCGCCCTGCCTCTGGTATATCTTTTGGGGTGGCAACTCGATGATTCTCCGTTCACTAATTTAAGGAACAACATGTTGGACCATTTCTTTGGATCCTAGGCTTGGGACCATTCCTAACCTTTGCTTCATGGACTCGCCAGGTTGCATTGGGTGACTTGATGGTTGACAATGAGCTGCCTGAAGATGTGATCAAGTCCAAGAAGGATTGGGCCGATTGGGCGCTCGACCGACCTTTGTATGATTAGAGTGGTGGTACCATGCGAGCGACTGTTTTCATTTTACATGGATGGCCGATTGCCATATGTGCTGAATCAAGTAGTGCAGATTTGTGCAGATTTGTATAGATGGAATTCCAACTCCCAGTAGAGTGCAGCAACTTTGACTTGGAAGGAGCAATCATTTTCAGTGGTCGGCTTTCCTGTCGAAAAGGCGTGGATAGGTGGTCATGGGGGAGAAACCGGCTCTGTAGTCTATCTGAGATATCTGAGGCTGAAAACATCTGAATTTGTGAAAGAGTGTAGGTAGCGTGTACCTTAAAAAAAATAAATGAAAAAGCAACCAATACCAAAACAAGGACTTGAACAGATGGGTTTTGAGACGTCCAATCAGATATTCTTCCAGGTTCCGGCAGACTGGCCATATTTTGGAGCCGTGGAATTTGAAGACGTAACGGTGAGGCAGGTGACGGTCATTTCTCTTGCAGGTGGCGGTCGTCGTGTTGACCTTTTCAACGATCAATGGAATCAATGATTCATGTCTTTAAGGGGGAAGAAACCTTTGATATTCAGATCATGGAAAGTCCCTACTTTACTTGCCCTACCCTGTTTGGTATTGAGATCATTCTGAATCATTCCGCACATTCACGGGATGTTTGAAATCCCTTGGATACGGACTGCAAAAAAAGCAGCCTGCGTGGGGGGCCGCCTGGGTGGGCGAGGTACTCCACAGAGTTGTCACCTTCTGTGTCAGAGTGTTCTTTGCGGGTACCTGCAGGGAAGGCGAGGGGCCGAAGCTGGAGGAAAGATGAATTTTTGCCACGTGGGGGACGTTTTGGATGATTCATGATATCATTCTATCAGAGTGAAGCATCCTATCAGAGTGAAGGTAGCTGATCCGTGTGGCACGTGTATTTCGAGTCATGAATTTCCCAATCAGCTTTCTGATCGAAATCAGCGCGAGCCAGGCTCTCCTGGTGGTTGGTGAAGAAAGCTGTGGCAAGAGCACCCTGCTTCGCACCCTGCTCCGCCTGGCTCCGGAGACGCAGGAGGCGAACAGGAGAAAGCTGTGTACATTCGACAGATGGCCCGAGAGCAAAGAGAGATGCTAGATTTAGTAAGAAGGTATGTTAACAAGTTGATTAAGATGTGAGTGAGGACATTGCAGGATATTGGCATTGAATGCATTTCGAGATAAACACCGTGTCCCGATTGCCACACCAAGCCTCGTTACCATCAATCATCCCACGAAAACCAGTGACAGGCCGCAAGACCGGCACTGTGCACGTGTCCATTTGGTCCATTTCCACGCCACGCACATGCCCGAACCCACCAACGCGAATGCAACGATGCCACCGCGTCGCACAGCGAGATTCACACGTTGGCAACGATGAATCGCTCAGAGAGTGGGCAGACCGGGGGGACAAGGGGACGCGAGACCGGCCAAGGTCGTAGGGCCTAGAGCCCACAGCGTGCCGAAAAAGACCTTAAACATTAAGAAACATCAGGCGGTCAAGTTGCAAGCTTGAAGCCTTTCATTCTCGACAACAATCTCACAGACTTTGAGCATTTATGAGCCAACTTCGACGACAATTGCACGTTCAGTAGCAAAATGCGGTCTTCACTTCACGCACGATGCCGGCAAAAAGTGGCGCCGGGCAAATTCAAATTCGGACAAAACCACCACAGTTTCGGGCACTCAACGCAAGATTCCAGCAAACGGGGTTACTGTATTCTAGGCTAATGAGCTTAGAAGCAAGGACTCTACTAGGGGCTCCTGGCCTTACTAGGAGCAAGAAGCTACTAGGAGCAAAGGGCAGCAAGGACGCTACTAGGGACTCCTAGGTCGGGTGCAGATGCGCATGTCACCCTCAATTTTAAGCAGTCAACACGCATTTCACCACATTTTCGGGCATTCCACGCTCACAACGTAAGAACGACATATTATATAGAAGAAAGAATAAGACGTGAAGATGCGAGGGATGTTAGATTTGGGAGATGTGAAGGCGTGAGAGATGAAGGTGTCAGATGTGCAGATGTCAGATGTGAAGATGAGTTTCGACCATGTTTCTTCACACAAACACTCTTGGCTCAGACATGCTCAGACGATCTCGGAGAAAAGAAACCTATTTGGACACCTTTTATTTCAAAGGGGGCCACACTAAAGGGGGAGCCACCATGATCAATCAATCTCAAAGACCTTTGAAGGGGAAGTGCATTTCTATCAAATGGGGTGGACCCCCTGAATTCGCACAGCCAATCACCTTTTATATAGACCGACCTCAGGCCGGCCGTGTGCTGGTGGACGGCATTGACACTCGTTCCGTGGGGCTGTCCACGCTTCGAGGCCGGGGGCTTTTTGGGCTTTTTGCTGGAGACAAGGTGACATGAAGCAGACCATGTCCTGTTATCAGTTTTTTTTGGAACTTAGTCTACCTAGTCATCTTCGACTTTTTTCCCATTTGGTCATGTGCAAGCTGGACCATGTGTGTTGTCTTCCAGACAGTCTCCCGGAGCTGTTTGAGCTAAACTTCAAAGGTGTTATTTTGCTCTCTGCTGTGCCGTTTGGCTCAGGTTTAAGGTTTAGATGAGAAACCGCCAATGGAACGAACAATGTTTCGTGTGTTTTGGGCGATGACTGGCAGAGCCGTAGCCACCTTTGCCGTGGAGCAGGTGGAAGGCAAGTCGGTACAATGGCTCAAGACGATGTTGGCCAAGCAGATTCTCCTCTGTAATTGATTGTTACACCACTTTTGATCGCACAGTGAGGTCTAGAGAACGCACTTGGACCCCCTACCATTGATACCTCAAACAGAGTTTGCTTTCTTTTGCTTTTGTGATCTTTTGTGTTTTCACTATATGAAAAGCCGCCGAATCTGCCTTTCTTTCAGTCGCATGTGCTTATCAATACAATACAGAGTCAAGGAAACATTGACCAACATATTATGCAACTGCCAAAACCTCCGATGAAAGCAGCATCACTACAGTGAAAACTAAGTAAGTAAAATTAGGGAAACCTTTCGGAACGATAAGGTCCACAAGAAAAACACGATAAGGTTTGACATGTAACGTAGGTGTGTCCAAACCCTCAGGAACGATCAGGTTCACAGAAGAGACACGATGACGCAATACAACACAAGAGGTGAAGGCGCGCCACCTATCACGACACACGACGACGCCAAAACCTGTTTAGTAAAACCAAGTTCCACTAGTAACAGGTGCCTTACTAGTATAGTAACAAGAAGCTATTAGAAACAAGTGCCACGCTAGTAGTAACAGGTGTTATGCTAGTAGTAACAGGTGCCTTACTAGTGCTGAAAACGGTAGTCGATCCGGTAGTGCATTAGTGCCCCCTTGGACTGTGGCAGCAAAAGAAGCTTTCAACACAAAGAAAACACCTTTTGAGTAACATACCCTATAGTAAGTAGTCCGCATGTCATACCATGTCTTACCTCGCCTCTGGCATGTTCGTCAGTTTTTTTCTTCCAATTCGATTTACCCTCAAGCTAGTGCCTCTACTTTGCGGCTCAGGTTTCAAGAGGCGCATAGTTGGTTGATCCAGGAACTAGCATTCTGAAAAGCTAAGCTTCCAAAGAGCTCCAATCGTTGTGGGGCAAAACTGTGAAAGATTGTGAAGGTTTTGTCAACGCCTTTCATGGCTTTTGGTTCTTTGATGTTCTTTGTCTGTAACTAGCAACTAAGTCTTGGCCCACTTTCCCTTTTCGCTGGTGACCGCTCAAACGGCTTTTCCGATGACTTTCGCACTGGAGGAGACCCTTGAGATGGTGTGGAGTGAGGTGAAAGCTTGGCCATCCAATTCCATGGATCACGTTTGTGTCGTATCGTGATCTCATGCTATCGAATCGCATCGTATCTGGTTCGTGGCCGTTCGTGGCGTTGTTGGTGGGACAGGACAGCGGACCGAAAGAGGACAGAGGTCGTCCCCGTCGAGGTCGTTCGGCCTCCCCACTGAGGATTGGAGTTTCCAGGTTCCAGCAAAGATGCTTTCCGGAAGATCTCGCACGAGCGTTGGACGACCAGGAGAGATCTCATTTGATGAGAGATCTGATGAAAGGAGAAGCACACCAGCACCACGGAAAGGGTGGGTTTGAATGGTCTATAGTCTATACACACCCGTGGCCCCTGACCATGTATCCTTGCAACCACCCCTTGGCTGGTGCTGGCAGACCGGATAGAACACCAGTGACCAATGCTTTTTCGTGACCCCGTTCGAGATTCTCGTGCGCAAACAGTTTGCGGCGATGTCTTGTGCCACGTCGATCTGCGGACGAAAGCATCTGGGCTTTTGGGTTGAGGAGATCTCCAATGTATTCCGGCCCTCTTTTTCAGAGACCCCGAATGACCCCGATCAAAGTGCTTTTGTTTCGTCACCGGGGTCTCTGACCAGGAGATTCTTTGCTAGTACTCGTAGGTTTCTCAGGCCATCGCTAGTAGGTCGGAGACCATCGCTATTGGGTTGGAGGCCATTGCTATTAGGTTGGAGGTCTCAGACCAGGAGATCCTTCCTCCCTCAATGGTGCAGCTCCTTGTCGTGGATTTCGAGCCACCGGACGTGACAGACAGGAAGCTCATCACGGTGTGTGCCGGGAATCGCTGTGAGGAGGTGGATGCCCTGCTAAAGAAACCAATAGCTCCAGACATCACAGGGGATTTTGGCTGGACAGCACTACACACGGCAGCATGGGCTGGCAATTCAAAATGCATGTGTTTGCTGCTAGAAGCCCGGGCAAACCATGACCAAGAAGATTCGTTTGGCTCGACGCCGCTGTACTTCGCAGCAGAAAGAAACAACCTGGAAGCCGTCCAGCTGCTGGTGGCAGCTGGAGCCGACAAAGACAAGGCTGCAAATGATGGATCCACAGCATTGCACATTGCAACCTCAGTTTGCTCAAAGTGCTTGATGTTTTACTTTTTTCCCAGTAGATTCCCTTCGAGTGGGAAATATGCAGTGGTTTCAGGACCCTGTATCAGTAAATCCAAGGCAATTGTCAATGGACACCTATCAGTGGTGTGGCTGCTGCTGTTCCACATGTTTGGGGAGGTTGATGATGAAAATGTCCTCAAGGATTGGCCATCCAACAGTCTTACTTCTGCAGATAGCGCTACAGGGGCGTTCGGAACGGCCCCATCGCAATGGCTTTCTGTATGAAGCAGGCCTGTGATACTTTAACATTCTGTTCGCAAGTCAATAGAGATGTTGGGGTCATATGGGGTCAATCAGTTATGTATAAATACTAATATGTAATCAATTACAGTCATTTCCACCAACTCGGTAGGTGTCCACCGAGCTTTTCAACACCAACATGGTCAGTTGTTATCAATCGTTCATTGCAGTCAGTGACAGGTATATTGTCATTCGGCTGTCATTCGGCTGCGCAGGCTACTATATGCCACGCTTGCACATGACATGGGAATGTGCTGGCAGCTGTAACCTAGAGGCGTTTGCTGCGCCAGCACAGCCGCACTCCTCGTTGCCTACCCTTTCAGGGAACCTCTTATATATATATATATATATATCCTTCGATTTGGTTAAACGGCCCTTGAAAGGAACTGAACGGGTTGGCATGTTTAGAAGGGAGGATCAAAATGATTATGCTTTCGGCGAATCACAAGGAACCATCCGATCGACTGGGAAGGTCCAGGAAGGTCTGCATCAGCTTTCGTTTGGTTCCAGACCCATCTACACCGCTGAAGATTCACTTGGAACCTGGTGACCAGTCCGACTTACTTCTCGTGCTAAGTACTAAGGCAGTTTGTTTGTTTCAAGACCTAGCGTGCTGGATGTTCGGCACGCGACCGACGCAGTGAATCGGACGCGGTGGTTCTTTTGCGCGTCCGAACCGGACCAAGCATCTTGGGGTGCGATCCAATAGCGTGGACCACGCGGTGCAAAACTCTCCAAACCGTTCCTTCAGGTGACGTTTTTTGTTTGTTTTTTTTAACGAAGGCGACTCCTAGGGCAAACAACAGCCCAGCCCTTGGAACGGACCACTAGGAAGTATGTTCAACATTGTGCAACCCCCCTTTTGCAGGGCGCTCCAACGAAGTTCAATCTGAACCTAGAGTTGTTCACCAGTGGTTGAAACTTGAGGGATCGCCAGCCACGGAGATCTGGACCCTTTCAGAGATATGGAACGCAACCCTTTTCTTTTCCTGATTCCAGCCACCTGCACTTCTGCGGAACAGTGCAACAACTTGAGCTGAAAGTGTGACGGCTGTAGCCAGTCATAGATCGAACGTGGATATGATGCGAGAAACAAGAGTTGCCTGCTCTGCGAAGGTTATCCGCGTGAGCTTTTTTCCGGAAAAGACTCTGCATGAGGTACTAACTGAGGTGCCACAAAATTATTCAATGGCAAGGGAAGATGGGCTGGGAAATTAAAACATAGTGGGATAGGCCTGTACTGCTATGATAGGGGGCTGACCCCAAAGTTAAATTTGTGCCACAAATATGGAGACCTTTGTTTGGCAACATCTCCTAGAAGTAGAAACACCGGTTCGCAGGTACGTTGTCACCCCAGAGCTTGAAAACTGTTGTTCAAAGCATGTCAGCATTGTGAGAGAAGTTCGTGCTTGGCCCATCTTCAATTCAATGCACGCTGAGTCACACTTTCACACAAGTTGAGAGGCGAGTGATTTCATCGCTGCGTCACGACGCATCGCTGAGCGACCGAGCATGCCAAGCCCCACGCAGCCGAAAAGGGCCAGTTCGCCACAGGGGTGGAGCATCAACGAAACTCAAATCCATGCGGTACGTGCGCTGCGAAACGGCGCTGCTAGGCTCTCCAGGCCCTGAGACACGTCATGCCTCATGCTCTTTTCACACACATGGCACTGATGGATTGGTGCGAAGGGAAGGGTTGATTTGCAAGAAGTTCACCGGGAGTTTTACACGGACAACAAGCAGCCACCCACAGAACGGGCCAACGCCGGCGTGCCGCTGACCCCTATTTTTGGGCCAAGCTGTGCACACGCATGCGAAACGTTTGGATCGCTGCGGGGCTGCGATCCTGTCTAGGTGAGTTGCTTGATTATCCAGGTTTGAAATAGAGAGGTCAGGTCGAGGTGAACGTGTTCCGCCACACCCAAGCGGCCAGTTCTGCGCAGAATGCGCACCAAAGCGGTCGGGAAGGAAGGCAGACGGCAGTTTTGAAACCCAGTGAAAAAGGTATGTAAGCCAGCTAATGAACATGTCCTTCCACGCCCTTTGCCCATCCAGCTCGGCAAAAGCTGTGAAGGAGGGCAGTGCAGACCAAACCCTACGACTGGAACTGGAACCATTTGGTCACCAGTCTCCCTTTTTTCTTTGGTCCTATGACCAAAGAAACCATAAGAAACCAGGTGCGGGCCCCCTTTTCAAAGCAATTCTTGGTCGAATGCAGACAACGTTGCCAGACAAAAATGGGATCCCCTGATCCCCTTAGACTTGCAATAACATCTTGCGGCGTTGCGTGCAGTTGCTGCCAGTAGAAAACCGTGCCAGTTTATAGGCAAGGCACCTTTAGGTGCCATGCCCCAAGGTGTCTTACCCTTGCCCTTGCCAACCCAGTTCATCGTGTTTTTCATGATTCGTCTTCCAAGCTGAATGGGTTGGGACTTCCCCCTTGTCGATGACAGGTCGTGTCGCTGTGGTGCCTCAGGAGACCCTTCTCGTTTTGCGCAGCCGCCTGTTGTAGTAGCAAGAGCTGAGAGCATCAGAAGCAAGCAAGGAATGCGACAAGAACGCACACTTTTTTCCTACTTCTTGTGACGATCGGTGTGACCTAAGGAGCCTCACAGTGGCTCAAAAAGGCAGCTCGGGGTCGAGAGGCGTTTTCAGGTCACGCCCCCAACCAGAAAACCCAGGTCACGCGTGGTCCAGCCGCCCAGCCTTTGCGCTGATCTTCCTCGTTGGTTTATCGTGAGAGACGATAGAGACGATGTCGCCGCAGGAGCTGGTCCTCTATCGCGGGACTTGGCTTCAAAACTTGGACCCCATGGAGGAGTTTTCTGAGGCGTTCCAGTCCGTGTCCGTGGAAAAAGGTTCAGGTCGTGAGGCATGAACTGTAGCTGGAACAAGTACTGATTCATGCGTTTGCATCGATATGTCTGTATGATCTTGGATGCTGATACACCGGGTTGTTTGATGAACTCTGGCTTCATTAAACACATTCATTCACGGTATATATCGTTCGTGGGGTTGGTGGGGTTCTCAGGTTCGCGGTCAAGGAGGCTATCTCGTTTAAAGCACCAAGTCAGTTTGGACATAGCGCACATGCCGATGCCTCATGCCGATGCGCACACTGCATCCTTGAGCATCGGAACCATTGCACGGCTTGGCACTTCCCTTCTTTCACAGGAGGAGGTGCAAATGGTCTTGCGCTTGACTCGCTTCGAGAATTGGATGCTGCGCCATGCGTCCGAGTCCTGAGAGCAACTGTTAGAATTCAGCAGTCCTGTCAGTGGTTAGGTTCTGCTGGATTCCCCGAACTGTTTACAACCTGGGCAGACAAATGAAAGCCACTGGGCAATGTCAAGTGTAATGATCAGATTAGGAGAAGCGGAGAAGCTTACTGATACAAGTTGTCCTTCAGCAAGGATGCATGTTCATCGGAAGGAACACAAAGGAGGAAGGACTCTCAGAGTCCGGCACCAAACAACCAGAAACAAATGGATGTTTCCCCAAATGGATGTTATTTCCATCCATTTCCTATGGGTTGCCATATTGAAAAAACAACCCTTTGTTTCTCAGTGCCACGACAATGCAGACAATGCCCATCAATGCCCCCATCTCATGGCGCGAATAGTTGACTCAGGCCAGATGGGCTTCACCAGACACTGGAGGAGGTCTCTGAGCTGACCAAAACCTTCGGAAGTGGATGCTTGTAGGACACAACGGCCGGCTCCAAATTCCCACACAGCATCTTTTCAATGGGACCCAACACGTTCTCCCGGAACGAGGACGAATTCAGATGCTTTTTTTGTTTCTATGATTCCCTGTGAGTCTGTGAGAAATCACATGAAGTCTATACAGACAGGTAGAGATGAGATGTACATGAGTATTCAATTTTTGCATCCCTTTTCTGGTGAGTGACTGCCACAGTCTGCCAGGGGGGCGCTCCTCATGGTGCTGCCGCTGTCTTGCTGGGTGTGTCCCGGGCAATGCTGAGGCTGCTCCAGAAGCTTCTGGGCTTTTGGTGGGTGGGGCATGGTGGGCAAAGCACCAATGAATGAAATGATATGAGCCCCTATTGAATCAAAACCTGTCCTTATGTAGCTTAAGGGAGGCTAGACATCATGTTTGAACATGCTAGTCTTGGTACGAGGCTTAGATCGCCGCTCATATGAAATGCATATCAATCTGACAAACGTGGGAAGTGATGGGCTGGGAGGTGATGAACGCATTTCACATTCGACTTTCACCCAGTCACCTGACGGAGGACATGCTTTGTGCCCAAACAGGACGTGGTCTGGCACGGAGTGAGCGGTCGTGCTGAGGCGGTCAAAGCTGCTTCTGATGGATGCCACCACCTGTCGCTTGAGTGCGTCCTCGGATGCGGTCTGATGCTGAGACGTTCGGTCGGATTTGTTTAGAGTTTCTTTTCTAGGTTTCCAGGTATGATTTATGGATGGATGATATTACTATGAGGTTTTCTATGGTTTATGGATGGTATGACTCGGTATGACTCTTAAACCGAGAAGACTGGGGAGTGACAGTACCAGCTATGGCTTCTCAGGACCTTACTGCGCTTGTGCTCCGCTATTGCCGCCGCGCTGCTGTCGCAGTGATGCAGGCAAACGCCTCGAGATCAAGCAGCAAAACCATGTAAAACACATGGATCTGATGGTTTCACAGCTTCCATCTTCTTCGAAGACTCTTCCGCCCCTTGTCTCCGCGTTCCTGAAACCAACAGGAACGGAGTCCACGGGACCGTACCGAGGTGAGTCGCAGAGTGCAGCAAGCGCCGCTCTACGACGAGGCGCGGGGCACTTTCAGCAACTGCGACGACGTTTTTGGATGTTTTTGGTTCATTGATGCTCATTGAAGCAACGGGTGGGTCTTCTGAGATGCCCAGCCTCGCCCAGCCTCGCTGTACAGGTCAAAAAAACATCCGGGGCAGGGTGTTGTTCGAAGAGTTGAAAGCAAGAATGATCATCATCGATCATCAGGATATCATCAGATAAATCAGATGCTGTCGGCCTATTGAAGGTGTTCAATTTCGCGTTCAGCTCGCGCCGGAAGCGGTTCCGTGCTTTTCTGCGTGCCGCGCGAGAGAAAAAGCACGGCGAACTAGGAGCGCGTGAAAGGGCAGCGCTCCTGAAAAAGCAGCCGTCGCCGTGCGGTCCCTGCAGGTGGCTGTCATGACTTTGGGACGAATCCTCGAACAAGGCCCTGCCAAGAAACTCTGGGTCAGCGCCCCAGCGGCGTGTCGGTCAAAGGAACGGACCGGTCGAAGACGGTGTCGAGTGACGTCGTTCGCGAAGACGGCGTCGCAGGTTGATATTTTTCAATGGTCGTGGATTGAGAGTAGATGGCACCATCCTCAAAAGGTGGTTTATATGGACTCCCTCTTTTTCAGGACATTTTGTGGCTTGCGGCATCTACTGCTAAACCAAGGTAATTGTATAGGAGCAACCGGATCAACAGAGTAGCTGCAGGCTGCCCATCGAATTTTCTCCCCTCGCTTCCGGACCCCCGGACACAGGTCAAGGATGGTGCTTTGCGGCGCATGGCAAAAGAGCAAGGCTAGTTACTGGTTGGGAAATTTGCTGGTGCACTCTCTGAAATACTCATGGAAGTGGAAAACCATGTTTGTAGAGGAAAATTGTCCTTCAAGGGGCCATGCCATCCACTTCCATGATTATTGAAATTGGAGTGATATGTGTGGTGGCACGGCAAGTTCATGACAATTCTCACCTGCTTTGCAAACCAAAAGACTCCCCTTTTGTATGTCTGGAAGATGAACACATGGGCGGCAACTACTGTTACTGGATTTGTACTTTCTTGTGGCTTGGCTGATGCGCTCTTGGAATTTTTCTGCGCTTGACTGGCAGCGTCAACCTGGGACTCGTTGCCCGACCCCCGGCACACACCTGTTCTTCTCCAAGCCAAGAAATATTGAGAGGACACAGCTCCAACATGCTCCAACTGTTTTTTTGTGTGTTTGCCATTTTGGACAGTCCAGATCTGCTGATTCGCAAAACGTCTAGCAAGGAGAGGTTGAGGGACATCCTTTGGTTGGCCTCTCCTATTGCTTGTGATGAGACTTGTATGAAGGTCTGGACTCCGCAAAGATGACCAAAGCAGATGCTCTTTCCGCACGGCTTGGCTCAGTCTGGGGCTGGGAGGCGCAGTTCAGTTGGTCGAATGACGACCAAAGAGGACCCGAGAATTCCAAAGCAATTCCACATATTCCACTGAAGCTTGGGCTTCGAGATCGCCATCATGCGAGAGAGCGTTCGTGACATCATGCATGAAGTCACTCGTGACATCTCGTGACTGGTATTATGATGACTAGCAATGTCCAGGAAAGGTCCCATAGTGAGTCATATATCCCAAATGCGTCACGCCATGTCGGCCTATTTTCCTTTCATGTTGTTGGCACATGACAGTGGGGACATCCTGGGACATCCTGGGACCTTGTTGGCATGATAAACCCGCAGAGCCAGGTGAGCCCTCAAGAAAGTCCAGCTTGGCAAGACGAGTTTACAGTGGGCATGAAAAAGGTGGGAGTCTCTTCCTTTGGACGATGCTTCCTGATGTCGGAACTGACGCTTCTTTGGGATATTTTCCAACGATGTTCGATACATCAATATTTTTCTCACAGGTTGAAGCTGGACTTGACAAGGTATTCACTGTTGAGATTGAGAATTCTCGCTTTTCAAGTCTATCATACTGTGGCATTGAACTACTTCTGAACTCTTCTTGTTGGCTTCAAGCAGATTGGGTATTGTAAGTGTCGTCGTTGCAAAGTCTTTTGGAACACCTAGGCATCAACTGAATAAGTCCAAGTCTCTCGCTGCAAAGGTAAAGGCAGAGAAGGAAAAGAAGGACGAGACCGCGTTCGGACTCTTCTGATACAAATAGGTTTGGGCATTTGCCAATTCATTTCTGTTGCTTCTTTCATGCCACTCAGCAAGGCGACAGCAATTGGGCTGATATAAACTGGAGTAGGCATGACCTACACACGGCTTCCTTAGAACAATCCGACATCGGCATCCGACATCGGCATCCGACATCGATCATGGTGCCTGTTGCCAAGCAGTCTATCGAGCAGTGCCTGTTGCCAAGCAGTCAATAGTCGTTGATGGTTCAACAACTACCAGGTATCCTAGAGGCGTTCTGAAGGGTTTCTCTTCTGTACATGAAGCTTAAAAGGGTTCTCTTTTGGGGGAGGAGAAGGACCATGATGATACTGTTCTTGGCGAAGACAGTGGTTAATATTACTGTAGATATGTTTAAGATAAACAAAAACTATATATATATATGCACACACGTATATATATATATATGTTTTACTTTTCTAGATTGGTCAACTCATTCATGCAAGCACTTGCTTGGCACTTGGGCAGTAAAGTGTGTTGATCTGACCTATACAGATATTGCATATATGACCTGCCAGGATTCAAGATGATTCAAGGGGGCTTTTGGACTGAAGATCACGGGAGAGAGGTAGATACGGTCTTCAAAGAAGGCTTTGATATTGTCGCCTCAAGGTTTCTCCAATGGGGGATCCTAAAGGACACAGTAATTCATTCATTGAAATGATCGGTGAGCAGTTGAAGAAGGATCAGAATATGGCACTGATGAACATCCAGCCCATGGAGAAACTGCAAGGGAGACCAAAGTTTTTAAAGTTACTGTAATGGTGCGTGTGTGTGTGTGTGTCACATTTTGTTGGACTGTAATCAGCATTTGAGTGGTGCTGTTGGAGGTTTGTTTTGGTTGGCATGACGTTTGAAACCTAAGCTCAACCTTGATTACTGTATATTGTTGCGAAAGGTCCTTCCTTCATCCTCCCAAAAGGCACTATTTCTCAAAGAGACTGGTGCCAGGCAGGCAAGGTCCCTTGTGCATAGACGTGAAATGATCACGTTCAGCATGTCAAGATGGAAAAGGGTTGCGAGTTCTGTTTGACAGCAATTGAGTAGAGAGTAGACGGCGGGCAGCCATTCTCTCCATTGAGCGTATGGAGCCATTCAGTAAATCATGCACTGGGGGACTCTCCGAAGAAGAGACCTGTATGTATACCTCTAAGCAGTATCAGTGGCCTCTGACTCAGCAGCAAAATTATAGGATTATTGGGCATTGGCTAATGTGCAATGAGAACAGAGCCGAACAAGAGTTGTGAAAGTGCTCATGTGCCGATCGGAAGCGAGACATCATGCAGATCACGGATTCGTATGCAGTCGCCGGTCGCCTTTGCAGATCAAAGGCAGCCAACAAACAAATTCAGACATGTCCTAAAAGGTCGCCGCCTGCTTGCAAAGTTGACTAGAAGGCAGCCTCAAATCAAGCGCATGAAGTGACCCAGCTGGGGGTGGAACTCCAGACACACCATCTCCAAATGAGAGACTTTCAAACAATCATTAACAAAAACATATGTTTTCTCCCAGGACAAGCAACATCGTGATGTTTTTGACCATTTTTGACCCAGCTAGACCGCAGTTCCAGAAAAAACAATGTCACCTGACCAAATCAACCCCCTCTCCTTCCTCGCCCTCGAAAGCTGCTATGTTTGGACCAAAGAACGAACTGCTACACGAATCTTGGACGTGTCCTGACCTGTCGCGTAGGAACAATGAAGCTACTAGGGGCTCCTGGCCAGGAAGCTACTAGGGGCTCCTGGCCTTACTACCAGGGGCAAGGAAGATACTAGGGGCTCCTGGCCTTACTACCAGGACCAAGGAAGCTACTAGGTCCTGTCTTTGCTACCAGGAGCAAGGAACCTACTAGGGGCTCCTGGAGCAAGGAAGCTACTAGGGGCTCCTGGCCAGGAAGCTACTAGGGGCTCCTGGCCTTACTACCAAGGGCAAGGAAGCTACAAGGGGCTCTTGGCCTTACTACCAGGGGCAAGGAAGATACTAGGGGCTCCTGGCCTTACTACCAGGAGCAAGGAAGCTACTAGGGGCTCCTGTCTTTGCTACGGAGCAAGGAAGCTACTAGCTACTCCTGGAGCAAGGAAGCTACTAGGGGCTCCTGGCCTTACTACGAGGAGCAAGGAAGCTACTAGGGGCTCCTGGCCAGGAAGCTACTAGGGGCTCCTGGCCTTACTACCAAGGGCAAGGAAGCTACTAGGGGCTCCTGGCCTTACTACCAGGAGCAAGGAAGATACTAGGGGCTCCTGGCCTTACTACCAGGAGCAAGGAAGATACTAGGGGCTCAGGGGGTCCTGGCCTTACTACCAGGAGCAAGGAAGATACTAGGGACTCCTGGCCTTACTACCAGGAGCAAGGAAGCTACTAGGGGCTCCTGG